TCCTGGGCCTCCCCTAGGTCGACTCAGCCTCAAATGAGTACCTGGTGCAGTATGTAAACATCGCCACTAGGGAGATAAAGGCGGCCGGGCGTGGTGCTGGCCACCGCTCTTCCCACGTGTAGACAAACGGAACGTTCGATGCAGCCTGCACGCTGCAGTCAGCTCTCGCCCAATGCCCACCATCGGTGAATAGTCCACCCTTCTTCCGGTGAATAGTCCACCCTTCTTCCGGTGAATAGTCCACCCTTCGACCAGTGAATAGTCCACCCTTCTTCCGGTGAATAGTCCACCCTTCGACCAGTGAATAGTCCACTCTTCTACCGGTGAATAGTCCCTTCGACCGGTGAATAGTCCACCCTTCTTCTGGTGAATAGTCCACTCTTCTACCGGTGAATAGTCCACCCTTCTTCTGGTGAATGAATGTGAACTCCACCTTCCGCCCCCCCCACCCCCCCCCCCCCCCCCCCCCCCCTGTACGGGATAGAGTGTTCTCCCCTCGCACGCGTGGGTTTCTCTGGGCGCTCCGTTTTCCTCCCACACGTGTACACGCGCTCATTAATGGCGCCGGTGACACCTTCATATATAGGGGATTGCAGAGCTTGGAGGGCAGTTGTTGGTGACGTAGGCTCCTCACCATCACGTGGCTGCTGCTGCTGCCTCCCCACTCCTCGTCTCTAGTTCCTCCTCCTGGCGCCTCTGAGTCGTCCTCTCTCTCTGAGTCGTCCTCTCTCTGAGTCGTCCTCTCTCTCTGAGTCGTCCTCTCTCTCTCTGAGTCGTTCTCTCTCTCTGAGTCGTTCTCTCTCTCTCTGAGTCGTCCCTCTCACTCTGAGTCGTCTTCTCTCTCTCTCTGAGTCGTCCTCTCTCTCTGAGTCGTCCTCTCTCTCTGAGTCGTCCTCTCTCTGAGTCGTCCTCTCTCTCTGAGTCGTCCTCTCTCTCTCTCTCTGAGTCGTCCTCTCTCTCTGAATCGTCCTCTCTCTCTGAGTCGTCCTCTCTCTCTGAGTCGTCCTCTCTCTCTCTGAGTCGTCCTCTCTCTCTGAGTCGTTCTCTGAGTCGTTCTCTCTCTCCCTGAGTCGTCCTCTCTCTGAGTCGTCCTCTCTCTCTGAGTCGTCCTCTCTCTCTGAGTCGTCCTCTCTCTCTGAGTCGTCCTCTCTCTCTCTGAGTCGTCCTCTCTCTCTGAGTCGTCCTCTCTCTCTCTGAGTCGTCCTCTCTCTCTGAGTCGTCCTCTCTCTCTGAGTCGTCCTCTCTCTCTGAGTCATCCTCTCTCTCTGAGTCGTTCTCTGAGTCGTTCTCTCTCTCCCTGAGTCGTCCTCTCTCTCTGAGTCGTCTTCTCTCTCTGAGTCGTCCTCTCTCTCTAAGTCGTCCTCTCTCTCTGAGTCGTCCTCTCTGTCTCTCTCTCTGAGTCGTCCTCTCTCTCTGAGTCGTCCTCTCTCTCTAAGTCGTCCTCTCTCTCTCTGAGTCGTCCTCTCTCTCTCTGAGTCGTCCTCTCTCTGAGTCGTCCTCTCTCTCTGAGTCGTCCTCTCTCTCTGAGTCGTCCTCTCTCTAAGTCGTCCTCTCTCTCTCTGAGTCGTTCTCTCTCTCTGAGTCGTTCTCTCTCTCTGAGTCGTCCTCTCTCTTTGAGTCGTCCTCTCTCTCTCTGAGTCGTCCTCTCTCTCTGAGTCGTCCTCTCTCTATCTGAGTCGTCTTCTCTCTTTGAGTCGTCCTCTCTCTCTCTGAGTCGTCCTCTCTCTCTGAGTCGTCCTCTCTTTCTGAGTCGTTCTCTCTCTCTGAGTCGTTCTCTCTCTCTCTCTGAGTCGTTCTCTCTCTCCCTGAGTCGTCCTTTCTCTCTGAGTCGTTCTCTCTCTGAGTCGTTCTCTCTCTTCTCTCTGAGTCGTCCTCTCTCTGAGTCGTCCTCTCTCTCTGAGTCGTTCTCTCTCTGAGTCGTTCTCTCTCTCTGAGTTGTTCTCTCTCTCTCTGAGTAGTCTCTTTCTCTCTGAGTCGTTCTCTCTCTCCCTGAGTCGTCCTCTCTCTCTCTCTGAGTCGTTCTCTCTCTCTGAGTCGTTCTCTCTCTTCTCTCTGAGTCGTCCTCTCTCTCTCAGTCGTCCTCTCTCTCTAAGTCGTCCTCTCTCTCTGAGTCGTCCTCTCTGTCTCTCTCTGAGTCGTCCTCTCTGTCTCTCTCTGAGTCGTCCTCTCTCTCTGAGTCGTCCTCTCTCTCTGAGTCGTCCTCTCTCTCTGAGTCGTCCTCTCTCTCTCTGAGTCGTCCTCTCTCTCTGAGTCGTCCTCTCTCTCTGAGTCGTCCTCTCTCTCTGAGTCGTCCTCTCTCTAAGTCGTCCTCTCTCTCTCTCTGAGTCGTTCTCTCTCTCTGAGTCGTCCTCTCTCTCTGAGTCGTCCTCTCTCTCTGAGTCGTCCTCTCTCTCTCTGAGTAGTCCTCTCTCTTTGAGTCGTCCTCTCTCTCTCTGAGTCGTCCTCTCTCTCTCTCTGAGTCGTCCTCTCTCTCTCTCTCTGAGTCGTTCTCTCTCTCTCTGAGTCGTTCTCTCTCTCTCTGAGTCGTTCTCTCTCTCCCTGAGTCGTCCTCTCTCTCTCTCTGAGTCGTTCTCTCTCTGAGGCGTTCTCTCTCTTCTCTCTGAGTCGTCCTCTCTCTGAGTCGTCCTCTCTCTCTCTGAGTCGTTCTCTCTCTGAGTCGTTCTCTCTCTGAGTTGTTCTCTCTCTCCCTGAGTCGTTCTCTCTCTCTGAGTCGTTCTCTCTCTCTGAGTCGTTCTCTCTCTCCCTGAGTCGTCCTCTCTCTGAGTCGTCCTCTCTCTCTGAGTCGTCCTCTCTCTCTGAGTCGTCCTCTCTCTCTGAGTCGTCCTCCCTAACTCTGAGTCGCCCTCTCTCTCTGAGTCGCCCTCTCTTCCTGAGTCGTCCTCTCTCTCTCTGAGTCGTCCTCTCTCTCTGAGTTGTCCTCTCTCTCTAAGTCGTCCTCTCTCTCTCTGAGTCGTCCTCTCTCTCTGAGTCGTCCTCTCTCTCTCTGAGTCGTTCTCTCTCTCTGAGTCGTCCTCTCTCTCTGAGTCGTCCTCTCTCTCTGAGTCGTCCTCCCTAACTCTGAGTCGCCCTCTCTCTCTCTCTCTGAGTCGCCCTCTCTTCCTGAGTCGTCCTCTCTCTCTCTGAGTCGTCCTCTCTCTCTGAGTTGTCCTCTCTCTCTAAGTCGTCCTCTCTCTCTCTGAGTCGTCCTCTCTCTCTGAGTCGTCCTCTCTCTCTCTGAGTCGTCCTCTCTCTCTGAGTCGTCCTCTCTCTCTGAGTCGTCCTCTCTCTCTGAGTCGTCCTCTCTCTCTCTGAGTCGTCCTCTCTCTCTGAGTCGTCCTCTCTCTCTCTGAGTCGTCCCCCCTCTCTCTGAGTTGTCCTCTCTCTCTCTCTCTCTGAGTCGTCCTCTCTCTCTCTGTGAGTCGTCCTCTCTTCCTCTCTATGACAGCGAACGAACACATTGCACGGTCACGGTGTCCGTAGTGAGGTCAAAGTGTCTGTAGTGATGTCACAGTGTCAGTCGTGATGTCACAGTGTCCGTAGTGATGTCACAGTGTCCTTACTGAAGTCACAATGTCCGTAGTGAAGGCACCATGTCCGTAGTGAGGTCACCATGTCCATAGTGAGGTCAAAGTGTCCGTAGTGATGTCACAGTGTCCGTAGTGAGGTCACCATGTCCGTAGTGAGGTCAAAGTGTCCGTAGTGATGTCACAGTGTCCGTAGTGATGTCACAGTGTCCTTTCTGAAGTCACAATGTCCGCAGTGAAGTCACCGTGTCTGTAGTGAGGTCACCATGTCCGTAGTGACGTCACAATATCCGTAATGATGTCACCGTGTCCTTAGTGAAGTGACCGTGTCCGTAGTGAAGTCACCGTGTCCGTAGTGAAGCCACCATGTCCATAGTGAGGTCACCATGTCCGTAGTGACGTCACAATGTCCGTAGTGATGTCACCGTGTCCATAGCGAGGTCACAGTGTCAGTAGTGAGGTCACCGTGTCCATAGCGAGGTCACCGTGTCGGTAATGAGGTCACCATGTCCGTAGTGATGTCACCGTATCCATAGCGAGGTCACCGTGTCGGTAGTGAGGTCACCGTATCCGTCCTGATGTCACCGTTTCCGTCGTGAGGTCACCATGTCCGTAGTGAAGTCACCGTATCCATAGCGAGGTCACCGTGTCGGTAGTGAGGTCACCGTATCCGTCGTGATGTCACCGTTTCCGTCGTGAGGCCACCGTGTCGGTAGTGAGGTCACCGTATCCGTCGTGAGGTCACCATATCCATAGCGAGGTCACCGTGTCAGTAGTGAGGTCACCGTATCTGTCGTGATGTCACCGTATCCATAGCGAGGTCACCGTGTCGGTAGTGAGGTCACCGTATCCGTCGTGATGTCACTGTTTCCGTCGTGAGGTCACCATGTCCGTCGTGAGGTCACCGTATCCATAGCGAGGTCACCGTGTCGGTAGTGAGGTCACCGTATCCGTCGTGAGGTCACCGTGTCGGTAGTGATGTCACCGTTGTCCGTCGTGAGGTCACCGGTCACACTGGGGGCCATCTCTGGGCCTCCCAGCCGGGAACCGTCCTGAGAGTCTCGAGACTCGGTGACGCTTTTCTTGGGAGCTAAAATAAAAATAATACAACATAGTAAATAAATAATTCGGCCGGATTTACGTCTGCGCCAGGGGGGGAGTAAGGGCTGTGCGCTTCGGGGGTTTAGGGAATGCGTCGAGGGTTAGGGCCGCAGGATTTACGTCCTGCGAGAGTTGCTGCGGGATAGAATATCGACTCGGAGGGGGCCAACGCCGAAGGGGCTCGCGGTGTGCGTGAATCTCCGCGCTGGCACGCGGGAGAGCTGAGCTCGGCCCTTAGGGGAAGGCGTCGCCGGGCTGCGAAGCACTCCGGCTGCGATGTCGGGGTGCCTCTGCGGGGGCCACGTGCATCTCCCACCACCCCCCCCCCCCCCCACAGCTCCTAACCAGTGATACCACCCCCCCCACCACCACCACCACCACCACCTTTCTGGCCAGGTTCGGCTTTGTCGGGACCCCGAGTCGGTGGGAGGACGCGAAGGGGACGAGGAAGAGGAGGAGAAGGCGTGAAGAGGAGCAGAGGAGGAGAAGGAGGAGGGTTAGAAGAGGAGAAAGAGGTGACGGGAGGAGGGAGACCGACACACGAGGATATGGAGTGCAAGGAGGGAGGAGAATGAGAAGAGGAGGCAACGTCTACACCACGATAACGACGACGACGACGAGGAGGAGGAGGACTTGAGAGTAGCGAGGAGGAGCAGGAGGCAGGGTCGAGGATGGGCGACTCGCCCGGTGGCCATGCCGTCTCCCTGCCCCCGCCGCCGCTGGAGCCGCCCGGCCACCCCAACGCCACCTCGGTGGCGGCGTGCGGCCCGGCGGGGCCGCTGGAGCCGGGCCGCTCCCTCGGCACGTCGCTCGCCTTCATGCTGCTCGGCACCAGCAGCAACCTGGCGGCGCTGCTCGTGGTGGGGCGCCTCTACCGACGCTTCCGCTCGCGCTCGCGCGCCTCCTTCCTGGTGTTCGCCGGCGGGCTGGTGTTCACCGACATGAGCGGGCAGGTCATCACCGGCGCGCTGGCGGCGCGGGCCTACGGCGCGGGCCTCCGCTGGGAGGAGATCGACGACGGCGCCGGCTCGCTGTGCCGCTTCTTCGGCACGTGCATGGTGTTCTTCGGCCTGGCGCCGCTCGCCCTCGGCACGGCGATGGCGGCCGAGCGCTGCGTGGGCGTCTCCCTGCCGCTGCGCTTCGCCGCCCGCGTGACGGCGCGCGGGGCCCGCCGGGCCGTGCTGGCCGCGTGGGCCGCCGTGCTGGCGCTCGCGGCGCTGCCCGCCCTCGGCGCCGGGGCCTACGTGCGCCACTTCCCCGGCTCGTGGTGCTTCGTGGACATGCGCGGCCAGGCCGGCGGCGGCGGGTGGCTGGCACTGGCGTCCGCGCTGCTCTTCTCGACCGTGGGCCTGGCCTGCCTGGCCGCGTCCCTCGTGTGCAACACCATCACCGTGGTGAACCTGGCCAGGGCCCGCCGGAGGCTGTGGTGCGGGGAGCGGCGCTCGTCCGTCACGTCGGCGCGGAGGCCGCACGACGTGGAGATGGCGGTGCAGCTGGTGGCCATCATGCTCGTCGCCACCGTGTGCTGGAGCCCCTTCCTGGCGCGTGCTCGCACAGCCACGCTCGCCCACGCTCACGGCGACAATCACCACGACGCTCACCTAAACGCTCACCATCACACTCAGCCACAGGTTTAACAGATGGAGATTCGTCCACAGTTGCTCTACCGCCTTTTCCTGGCGAGCCTCCACAGCACTGGCTGATCACATGCGTGCACCACCACCACCCTGTGACCCCTGGCTGTGACCCGTGACCCCTGGCTGTGACCCGTGACCTTCGGGCGTGAACCCCGGCCGTGGTCGCGTTGATTTTTCTCCGGGCCCGCCAGTTTTTCCCTAGAATCAGCGTCACGCGTTCAGAGTATTTGGCTGCTGCTATCAATTTCCGAGCGACAAAAATGAGCCCAGTGCGTTGAGATATAATTCGTGATAGCCAGCTGGCTTCTGAAAAAGAGCTATACAGCTTAGTGGGGCTTACCTGGTAAAATTAAAAATAGTTTTAGTTTAGTGACCCATGACCCCTGGCCGTGCCCCCTGGCCATGACCCCGAGACCCCTGATCGTGACCTCTGGCCGTGACCCCTGCCCCTGACACCTGGCCATGACCCCGTGTGCAGGTGACTGTCGCCATGATGGCATGGCGCTACTTCTGGGAGCCGGAGCCGGCACCGGACTGCGTCTTCCTTCGCAGCGCCGACAAGGAGCGGTTCCTCCTGCTGCTCAGATTTGCCTGCAGTAATCAGGTGCTCACCACTACCACTCACCATCACTCACCACCACTCAGCACCACCACTCACCACCACTCAGCACAGGTGCTTATTGTCACCACCGCCACCACCACTTACTACCACTCAAGCAGGTGCTCACCACCACCACTCACCACCACTCAGCACAGGTGCTTATTGTCACCACCGCCACCACCACTTACTACCACTCAAGCAGGTGCTCACCACCACCACTCACCACCACTCAGCACAGGTGCTTATTGTCACCACCGCCACCACCACTTACTACCACTCAAGCAGGTGCTCGCCACCACCATTCACCACCACTCAGCACAGGTGCTCATTCTCACCACCACTCGCTACCACTCAACTAGTGGCCGACCACCGGTAACCACCACTAACCACCACTCAGCACCACTCGCGATAGGAGCTCACCAATCACAACAACCACCGCTCGCCAACGCTCACCAACACTCTCCCAGGTGCTCACCTTCACCACCAAGTATTTTTTTGAAATAAAGTTACGGCAACGGCGACACATATAAATCAGCGCAAAAAATTTAAATGCAACTGCGCCGTCATCACAAAGTGTTGACGGTGCTGTCCGTTGCTGGCGCGCGACGTTCCGGGCCTTTGGGCCTCCGGCAGGGCCTTCGGGCCTTCTGGCCCTGTGCTCAACAGCCGTGTCGCTACCCAGGAAGGCGGTGGTTAAAAGAAAAGCTCAGTGGGCCTCACCTGCAAATAAAACATTTTTTAAATCGTTTTATTTGTATACTTTGCACTGCTATCGTGTTTTTTGTAATTGTGTTTGTTGTTGTAACGTTCTGAGTGCCCCAAATTGACATCTGTGAACAAAGAGCTTCGTAGCTCATTGGATTCCTCCAGTATAAATAAATATTCTCTTTATGATATCGAGGAATGCATCCGAGGGTATTGTTGTTGCTTGGTTGTTGGTTTACCGTCGAACAACGTCAACGATAAATTAAAACTTTTTTTATTTTACCAGGTAAAGCCCACTGAGCTGTATAGCTCTTTTTCAGAAGCTACCTGACCATAAATGATAGCCCGACGAAGTGGTTTATCACGTTGAAGTTTATAGCAGCTACCTCACCTGGTATACACGCGTCTATCTCAATGTGGAGGGAAAAACCCAGAGGGCCCGGAGAAAAATCCACGCGACCATGGGGAGAGAAGCACGCAAACGCCAAATATCCAGGCGTCGTCAGGGTCGGGATCGAACCCACGACCTCCTGCATGCCAGGCGAGGTAGTTAACATCCCGCCACCGTGTACTCCACCGCAGGTGCTCGACCCCTGGGTGTACATCCTGCTCCGGCGCGCTGTCCTCCGGGCCCTGTGCGGCCTCCTGGGCCGCCGCCTGCCATCGCCCCACAAGATGGGCTCGCTGCTCTCCAGCCTGCGCCGCAGCCTCTCGACGGACCCCACCCGTGGACCCTCCACCCGGAGCCCACGCAGCCCCCCAAGGGGGGCTGATTGCCCCACCTCAGAGAATCTGTGGGGTTATGGAGGCCCCGGGCCAAGGCATCGCGCCACCACGGCGATGGTCGTCAACCCTGAGCTGCTGGAAGGGGACGAGGAGGAGGTGGAGGAGGTGGAGGGGGAGAAGGAGGAGGAAGGAACCATTGAGCCTCCTCAGCCAGGATCTCCTGGGGTCCGTGGGATGGGGGGCCCCGGACAGGAGGAACTGGGGGCCCATGCAGGGGCCCACCCCGGGCAGGGGTCGCCAGCGCAGGGGACGCCGGGTGCAACGCCGGGCACCTGCAGGGACGAGGAAGCCGTGGGCCGGGGGTCACGGTAAAGGAGGGAGACGGGACGATGGTGGAGAGGCGACGGTGAGGGAGGTCGCGGTGGGGAGGTCACGGTGAAGAGAGTCACGGTGAGAAAGCGCCACTGTGTGGCAAGGTCAAGGTGAAAAAGGTCACGGCGAAGAGGTCACAGCCTCCGGGAGAGGAACTGTTGTCGTCGTTGGACGTAGAGTGGAGGCACCCAGGAGATGGGAGCACGGCGCGGAGAGGGCCTGAGAGGGCCTGAGAGAGCCTGAGAGAGGACCTGAGAGGGCCTGAGAAGACCTGAGAGAGGACCTGAGAAAACCTGAGAGGGCCTGAGAGAGCCTGAGAGGGCCTGAGAGAGCCTGAGAGGGCCTGAGAGAGGACCTGAGAAGATCTGAGAGGGCCTGAGAGAGCCTGAGAGAGCCTGAGAGGGCCTGAGAGAGCCTGAGAGGGCCTGAGAGAGCCTGAGAGGGCCTGAGAGGGCCTGAGAGAGCCTGAGAGAGCCTGAGAGGGCCTGAGAGAGCCTGAGAGGCCCTGAGAGGGCCTGAGAGGGCCGTACGGGACTAAGGGAGGAGGTGCGGGGTAGGGAGGGTGGTTGGCTAGAGCACGTGACGGTCAATCAAACAATAACGCTGACCCTAATCAACCAGACGTGAGTACTTAGTGCGAGCCATAATCCTAACCAACTAACTAACGAGACACTGGTACTAGGTCTCCCCCTAACTTTAACCACCCAGGCACTCATAATGGCTCTAACCCTAACCAACTACTGTAGGACCATCCCTTCCACAGACCATATTCCTCAACCAATCACCCAGCCAGCCATGGTTCTACCTCTACCCCTAACCCCGTCTGCTTATTTTCAGTTCTCGTGGTTTCAGCGCCCCATGTACAGCCTAGCCTGGCACAAGCACCGCGGCGACATTACCGCTCAGTCATTTGCCGAACGGCCCCATGCCATTGTTGTTACCATTGTTGTTGTGTTGACACGTAGTAGAGCTTTCGCGACCAACATTCATGATAGAGGTTTTTTGGTTTAGATCGCACAAGCATAAATGTGTCGTTAAACCCACCACCACCCGACACAGCCAACCAGTAAGGTTTGTCGCGTAAAAAAAAACGTGGCCAATTCGTTACTAGTTCAGCAATACTTCTGTGCTGGAGAGTAAGCCACAGTGTTATCAATTTGAGTCCCATGTGACCTTTTTGCCAGTATCAAAGTATGAAAAATAAGAATAGGTTTTATCCTTTCTGGCAATAAAACAGGTGGTGTTAAGATGTTCAAACACAAAATAGCTGCTCAACTCGAGCTCTAAATGCTCTGATACGTGTGGCATTGCCCTTGCGCTGTTCGCCTTTTGGCATTCTCTGGTCTGACGCTGGTGAGACTCGGCCCTAAAGAAGGCTGGTGTCTCTGGTGTCGGCCAATCAGTCTCAGAGACAATGCCGTATATTATCAGAGCCATGTTTGTTTGCATGTTCACCACAACTACTGCATGTGGTTAATGTCGACTTGATTCCTTGCAAAAAGGTTTATCTATTTTGGTGTTTGAACACCTTAACACCTCCTACTTTATTGCCAGAAAGGGTACAATTCTATTCTTGTTTTTCACAATTTTGGTACCGTGACTTTTTGCCGGTAATTACATCCAGCACCAACAGGCGATTTTGCCCGATGGTTGGCTGTGTCGGGTTGTAGCGGGTTTAAAAACACATTTACACTTACGCGATCTAACCCCAAAAATCCTTTGTTGTGTTGTTGTGTTGTTAGTGTTGTCGTTGTTGTGTTGTCGTTGTTGCTGCTGCTGCTGCTGCGAAGTGAGCATGGGGGCGATGTGTGGATATTAAACCCTGCGTGTCGGTGGTGGGTTTTGCCGTGCATTGTACGGCAAGTCCTCTATCAACGCGCTACTGCTGTTGCTGGTAGTAGTCGTCGTAGTAGTAGGTGTTTGACACCTAGGAGGCTTTCGCGACCAATAGTAATCATACTCGAGGCGGTTGGGGTAGATGCGCGTAAGTACGATTCGGCCACAGTCGCCCGACGATGATGCTGGATGCAATCGCCAGCCAAACGTCGTGGATTTTCTCTCCAACGCACAAAACCCGGCAAGTGCTGAAGTGCTCGTAACTAATTGGCCACAAACCCTTACCGGTTGGCTGTGTCGGGTGGTGGCGGGTTCAATGACACATTCATGCTCACGCGATCTGACCCAAAAAAATAGAACCCTGATTATGGATCGGAGTCGGTGGCCAGCCGAGGAGTGCCGCCCAAAAGCGAACAGCGCGTCGAGCGATAAACAATGACGTAATAACGACAACGTATTGACGTGGGTTTTTTTCCCCCCCACCTGATGATGATTGCTTGTGTTGCAATCTAAACGTCGTGATTTAATTTATTTTATTTTATGCCTACGTGACTTCACCGAAAGAACCAAAGAGTACGAATGTCACAATGATAACGTAATAACGATAACTGATAACAAATAACGTAATTACTTAATAACGATAACGTGATAATGATAACGTAACGGCGGTATAACGGCACTCATTCCTCGTTATAATGGAGTGTGTTCCTCGTTATAACGGAGTGTGTTTCTCGTTATAACGGAGTGTGTTCCTCGTCATAACGGAGCGTGTTCCTCATTATAACGGAGTGTGTCCCTCGTTATAACGGCGCGCGTTCCGCTTTGTGCAAAAAGTGTTCCTTGATGGAAGAAGAAGCAGCAGGAGCAAATTATCGCGAATACTTGTCTCGAGTGTGAACACCGGCGTGGTAAGCGAGGACTTGCCGTATTAGCAGCGAGGCGATTGTGACGGACACAGCCCCTGGATCCTCTGTCCAGACTCTAAGCAAGGGAGACCCGGGGGTGGTGACTATGCTGGTGTGATGATGAGTCTAAAAGTTGTCTCGTTCCCCATGTGCGAGTGTGTGTGTGTGTGCTGTGGTCGCAACGCTGCCCGTAGATCGGGTCACGTTTGCTTTGAACAACAGTTCCCTAAAAACAACACTTGCTGGTTCCTCGGGAACAACAGTTTCCAGTTCCCCAGGAACAACAGTTGCCGGTTCCCCGGGAACAACAGTTGGCAGTTCCCCGGGAACAACAGTTTCTAGTTCCCCGGGAACAACAGTTGCCGGTTCTCCGGGAACAACAGTTGCCAGTTCCCCGGGAACAACGGTTGCCGGTTCTCCGGGAACAACAGTTGCCAGTTCCCCGGCAACAACAGTTGCCAGTTCCCCGAGAACAACAGTTGCCGGTTCCCCGGGAACAACAGTTGCCGGTTCTCCGGGAACAACAGTTGGCAGTTCCCCGGGAACAACAGTTGGCAGTTCCCCGGGAACAACAGTTGCCGGTTCTCCGGGAACAACAGTTGGCAATTCCCCGGGAACAACAGTTGGCAGTTCCCCGGGAACAACAGTTGCCGGTTCTCCGGGAACAACAGTTGGCGGTTCCTCAGGAACAACAGTTGTCGGTTCTCCGGGAACAACAGTTGGCGGTTCCTCAGGAACAACAGTTGCCGGTTCCCCGGGAACAACAGTTGCCGGTTCCCCGAGAACAACAGTTGCCGGTTCCCCGGGAACTGTTGCCGGTTCCCCGAGAACAACAGTTGCCGGTTCCCCGGCAACAACAACAACAGTTGCCGGTTCCCCGGGAACAACAGTTGCCGGTTCCCCGGCAACAACAGTTGCCGGTTCCCCGGGAACAACAGTTGCCGGTTCCCCGAGAACAACAGTTGCCGGTTCCCCGAGAACAACAGTTGCCGGTTCCTGCCACGACGAGCGAAGGCCGAGTGCTGGTTTGTTTCCGTGCGCGCGTGTGTCCTGTGCGTCGTTCGTAACTCTGTCGCGTTTGTTGTTTGTTGTTGTTGTGTTTTGTGACGAGGTTTGATCGTAACTCGTGACGGTGGTCTTCCCTTCCTTCCTTGTTGTCAATTTCGCGACTGCAGTTTTTGTTGTTGCTGTTGTTGTTGTTGTGTGCGATGAGCTGGTCACCGCGTCGTTTTGCAGAGCTTACTGGAGACCTGGGAGACGTATGAAGGCTATGACGGTGGGAGTTGTAGTTTTGAGGGTGCCGATGTGTAACTTGCGCACGCGTGTGTGTCTGTGGTGCTGCGTGTCTGTGCATCAGTGTACGTGGGGGGGGAGCGGGGGAGCGGTGGCGCAGCGGTTAGCGCTACGCTGCTCTACGAACCCGGCGGTCCGAGTTCGAATCCTGCTCACGGACGCTTGTCTGAACCGGTCCTGGGCCTCCCCTAGGTCTACTCTGCGTCAAATGAGTAGCTGGTGCGATGTGTAGTAAACATCGCCACTGGGGAGACAAAGACAGCCGGGAGGGCGTGGTGTCGGCCTTCATGGGTGCCCGCTAACAGCCCTTGCCCCGACAGTCCATTAAGGCTATACGGGGGATATTTGTCTTTGTCGTGGTGCTGGCCACCCACCCCCTCGTGCGCCGCGCTTCGTCGGTGCTGCTACTCGCTAACAGCACTTGCCCCAACCGCCTGCAAAGGCTACATGGGGGATCCTTGTCTTTGTCGTGGGTGTGTTCACGCGTAACACGAATGTACCCTCCCTTGTGCAGGGGAGCTGTTAAATGACAGCAAGTAGGCTACATCAACTGTGAAATAAACGAGAAACACATGTATAAATTGTCCACGTGGCGTGTGTGTGTGTGTTGGTGTGTGTCTGTGTGCGTTTGTATGTCTGCGGGTGTCCCTGCATTTCCAGGAGCCTCTGTGTGAGTAATTTGGCAATTGCCGGCGAACCTCACAATCCGGTTTAATAGCAAGCGCAGTTCGAGCGAGTCTACGGATCTTCGTACGGAGCGAATGGGGGTCTCCGACTACATGCGCGGCTTTCCTTTTAAGACCATCTATGGAGTGCGTGAGCGAGTCTGTCACCCAAGTATTGACCACGGACGGTCGACTCAAAGACTGGCAGGGCATCTCGAGTCGGGTTGGTTTTTTTTAAAGATTTAAACAACAAAAAATAAACCAAAAGTGGCATTTCCAGATTGTCTTCGCGGGTTTTAATGACGGGGATATATTTTGGTGGGGCCCTCTCTTTCCCAGAACGATTTCCACACGCGGGGCTCTTTCCCAGAAATACTTGGACGGGATAAAGGTCAGGTCCAGTCCCGTTTGCTGACGGAATTAAACGTAAAAATATATATTCTTGGTTCTTTCGGTAAAGTCACGTAGAAGGGAAGCAATAAAATAATTTAAAAATATATAAAACAATATTGTTTTATATTTTTTTTATTGTTTCCCTTCTACGTGACTTTACCGAAAGAACCAAGAATATGAATCCCTGCAGTCACGAAAGCTTTAAATCAAAAGTAAAAATATATATTACACGAAACGACAAA